TTCATAGCCTACTCGATTTAATTAACTCAATTTGCAAGCGGAAAGTGAGAAATCAAATTTGGCTATAAAGTAATATGCATCGATATAGAAAATTGTAAATATCTCGAAAACAATTACCTCCAACGTTGTTGAGGAGAGGTACCTTCTTCACTTGGAAAAGGTGTGGAAATTAGGTTTTTTCATGAAAAGTACCGAAAGTTTACTGTCAAAAAAGTTAGGGCAATTTGGAATAAACCCTAGTACCAAATTTCGTGCAAATAACTTATTTTTTGCAAGAGTTATTTTCAAAAAGCGAAAACAAAAATTCAATTCCAACACCCCGTATCTCCGAAACGAAGCATTTTCGGACACAAGTTCATATATACTTTCTTTCTCAAAATTGTCTCAGGAATACGTTACTTGAATATTCAATCGTACTCATGTTACACCCTGTATAGTCATTGAAACACAACAAATCCAGAAAGACCGTATCCTAGTATGACAAAGTTATTATACATAAAAAAATAGAAATTATGGAAGTTACAAAGTCGGTAGAATTTTCAAAATTCAGAAAATTTCCAATAATCCTGCGAATATTCGAAAAAAGCAAAGTTTGGCAATTTTGTTTTAATTCTTTCTGTCGTTATTTGAGAAGATATGGAAAACCAAAAAGTACTTTCTAATTGGCACTCTCCAAGCTATTCAAAATGTCGTTTACCTACATATTTTTATCCTAACGTTTCGTCTCATCAGCAGTTTAAATTTTTTATATGTATCAAAAAAATTAACCCGGTATAACTTAGGCTTCTTGCCGACAACGTTACTGATGTATGGAAAACATTAATTATCTTCAATTTTGGGATTTCTTTGAAATATGCTCTTAAATGAGCAATATTCATTATTTATCCGACTTTGCATTTTTACGATTTTAAATTTTCCCAAGCCTGTAACATTGCAATGAAATTATCATATTTTGAAAATACTGTATTTGTGTATGCATTTCCATTCAAAACTCATGTTTGACATATATACTGAAGCAGATATTATAACGGATGAATTTTGGTGGCTTTGATAATACTTTTGCTTATAGCAATTTGGGACGACCGTTTTCGAATTACTAATTCAGTAAAATTTACAAAAATCTCTAAAGCAATTGACTCAGCAGTCGATTCCTATAGTTCATGTCCATGACTTTTGAGTTGATGTATTGTTAGCATGGAATAGATTATAGAAACAAAGTAAATCTATACATTTAAATTCAGAATTTCAATTTACAATACCCATAAAAAATCAAGAATAATATAGCCAGGGTGTGAGATATGTTTCAGTCTTTGCAAAGAACTGGCAACACTGATGTCAATGTGTAAAATGTGGCAACATCATAATAAAGTTTGACATTTTTTAGCATAAACGTACTGACAACGTTTTGATGTACAAGTGCTATTTGTTTTCTTTACAGTGAGTTGAGAAAATCAATTTGACCACTAAATGAAAATTTCAAGAGAAATTTTTCTCACAACTCCTGACGTGGATTATCGTAACAAAAATGAGTCGATGGACTCTGTTCTTTATATTACGATAAAGCACCATCAAAAACCACAGTATATCGCTAAAATAGTGAATTCCATCGTTGTCGTAGTTTGATCGCCGACAAATTTCGTGAAGGTTGTCCAAAATCGATGCAGTTCTTGAATTGATAATTCAAAATCGAGATGTGATATATCGTGAGATAGAGACGAGCTAAATCCAACAAAAGTTGTTCGTGGAAGAAGCACAGCGAAGCAAATGATTGCCTGTTTTTTCTTCTGAATGGATCATGGGGTCACTGTTTTGCATGAGCAACGTTGAACGATCAATTCTGAGTGATACACGATCATTCGTTGGCTGGAAGTCTTCGGAGAAATTCGTAAAACTGACCACCGACGACGAATCATCATGAAAATGCGAGCTCTCACTCATCTCTTCAAATCATTTCCATGCAGAATTATACAAATTGTATCCACCATGGGTAAATATAGCATTCAATAACACCTGCAAATGAATTGCAAGTGTAATTGTTTTATCAATATGGATGTTCTGTTCGGGCAAAGTACCGCACGCTTCGCCCATTTTACGGTCGCCATAATCGTCCTACCGAGAGGACAATTCGAAATGTGGTGAATAAATTTGAGTCCACTGGTTCAGTAAACGATCGACCAATACCCGTACGTCGACGAAACGCAAGATCTGACTGAAACATCGCTGCTGTCTGTGAGAGTGTACAAAGGAGTACGAGGCAGTCGATTTCGTATCGCTCACAAGAACTTGGCCTTTCGCAGACCACAATTTGGCGAATTTTTCCTCATAACTTGGGCCTGAGCCCGTACAAAATTCAACTGACCCAGGAACTGGAGGTGAACGATCATAGACACTGAATGAGGTTGAAAACTGAACATAATTGTTGTCAGCGATGAGGTCCATTTCTGGATTAGGACGATACCAATCCACATGGAATGCAAGAGCGTCCAGTGCATCCCGAGAAAGTCACTGTTTGATGTGGATCTCGGTCTGGCGGCGTCATCGATGCATATTTGTTTGAGAACGACGTTGAGCAGGCCACCACTGTCGACGGCGAGCACAATAAGTCAAAGACAACCAACTTCTTCTGGTCTGAAATGGATGATCTGTACATCAATGACATGTGGTTTCAACAGGACGGTGCTACCTGCCACACATCTCTACCACATTTGGGTTATGTGTATCAGAAGGGCACCAAGCGACATTTGCTCAGTTCCTTCTTAATAAATAAGCTTAATTCCATTTCATACTGAGAAATATGCTGTACAAAATTAAAATGAAACGTCAGTTGTTCTGAAATACTTAATTTAGTTAATAATAATAATAATAATAATAACGCATAACGCGGCCCTTAGAGTGCTATATTACCATCTACGGCACTCTTACGTTATTGACGAGACACCGTTGTTGCCCTACCGGGGGATATTGAATCCGTTGTGGGGAACGGGAAGTGCCGAATTTATTGGAACTATTCGTTCCCCACCCTCAGGCTCATACAAGCTGATAAGCCTGATGTAGTCCTTCTCGATCACCAGAGCAAAACCATATTTGTCGTGGAGTTTTCAGCTTCTGGCGAGACGAATATCGTCAGAAAAGAGGAGGAAAAACGGATAAAATATCGAGATTTTCTCTTCGAACTCCGCAGACTCTATCCAGATCACTCTGTCAAGATGGTCGTTCTGATTATTGGAGTCCTTNCACGAAAGAAGATCCCAGTGGAAACAAAAAAGCAAACAATATCACAACAGAGAGTTGAGTAGGTATGTATTTCCGTTATCTATTTATATTTATTCAAGAATAATTTTTGTTTTAACACTACATAACTGTCTTATTTTCCAAATTGTGTTCAAGGAGTGTTGAAATATTTCATAAATTTGTTCCTAATGTCATAGGCAGTACGAGTAGCTCTGTAAAAATTTGTGTTCCAACGGTTCGATCACGTGTTTGTTGAGGGGCATTATTTTGAATGACATCGGAGCTTTCCTCCAAATCAATAATTATATTATGCAAAGATTTTCCTCTTTTTTTTTCAGTAACAAATATTTCACTAATGGTGATGATTCAAACTTATAAAACTTTGACAGCGAATCCATAATCACTACTGTTTTCGTATGAACTGATATCATCCAATGTAACCACACACGCCTATTAAATTTGTAATAATTGATTCGTACGAATTCGTAAGACAAAATTTCCGTACGAATTCGTATCCAATGTAACCGCCGCCTTATGCTCTTAGCTCTTACAGAGCAACGTCTAAATTGGTAGTAAACTGCCAAAAACGTCTCTCCTCGATAGGGAGACTTAACAGATTGTCTCTGGTCTGGATTCCTGGCCATACTGGCCTGGAAGGCAATGAAGCTGCTGACTCTCTTGCAAAGGAGGGTGCTGCAAGCGGCTTCATTGGACCAGAACCTGTCATTGGCATCGCTTTGGGCTTTGCCAAACAAACACTGAACACATGGATGGCAAGAAGATTTATGGATTTCTGGCAGAATTTTCCAAGATTGTTGGACTACAGTAGGGATGAACTACGATGTCTAACAGACCTTCTTACAGGTCACTGTCATTTGAATCATCATATGCAGAGACTTGGACTGTGTTGGAAGACAGTGTGTGTTGCATCTGTCTGGAAAATGATGAAACAGCAGAGCATATACTTTGTACCTGCCCCGCTGGGGACCGAATCAGGTTCTTTGAGTTCGGCAGATCCGTACTCACATCATCTGACCTGAAAGACCACTCACCATACAAACTAATCGGCTTCGTTGAGAAACTGGGTTCATTTGGCCGAGTGTGAATAGGTGTGAGCCACAATAAACCCTTGTGGGTTGCTGAGGAGGGTCGAATGGACCCACTCACTTGGGAGCTACCTACCTAACATACTAACCTAATACAACAAATATTATTTAGAATTCGAAAGATTATAAAACACAGACTGATAGATGAACAGCCAGCGATCAGCTTATCATTCGTTGGCTGGAAGTCTTCGGAGAAATTCGTAAAACTGACCACCGACGACGAATCATCATGAAAATGCGAGCTCTCACTCATCTCTTCAAACAGGTGAATTCTTGAGCAGTCAAAAATTTGAATGGATGACTTATCCTCCGTACTGTCCCCATTTGGCACCCAATGACTTCCTCGTATGGGACTTGAGAATTGTACGATTGAGAAATTTTGAAACGAACCTCGACATGATTTTTTCAAATATTCTATTATCAATGGTTAATCACGAGAATTGAATGACATATTATACTCGCATGGTGGTGTTGTTTGTTACAGAACATCCATGCAGTATTTGACATCACTGATATATCACGCATATAATTACGCATAATTATTACTCAGAAATAATTTCATATTCATTAACATTAACTATTGAAAGTTTTCATTATACAAACAAACTGTCCCAATTCATCTTTCGATGAAAAATCACAAAAAATATTTTTTATACTACTTACTTTGGAGCCTTGTCACAGCTTTGGGTTGCCATCGATCTGAATACATTCCAAACTGTATTTTTGAAACTCCATATACTCTCTTGTACATCATTACATTCTTCATCAAGATAGGCATCGTCCCAATCCTCTGCAGATATTCTTTCAGAAAAACAATCTATGTGAGACTTGCGAAGTATAGTAGAAAGTTAAAAAAATTTTGAGGGTGGTTTATGAGAATACCCCTCATACCTATATTGGAAGTCAGAAAAACTGAAATCGATGGTGTAGATATTGTTACTCAGGAGAAAGTTGAAGTAATCAAGTGGCTCACTATTGTACCTATGATACAGTTGTTGTTCATGAAGTGATATGGTAAAATGATTCCATACCTCGTGCATCTAGTTCTACTTCATCAATTGAGAATGAAATAACAGCTGTAGTTTTGAATGTTGAAATCATAACTCTATTTGTAACGATAAATTTGTTTCGCCAAATGAATATGAGATACTCATAGTCTACAACTATCATTGACGTTCTATTCTATTCTGATATTTTATTTCTATCTACGTATGTCATATTGATTCGTTAGAAAAAATATAGGAACCATTAAACCATGTGGACAAAATGTATTTATGTAAGTGATTCTGAGATGCACGAAGGAATAGCATAGAAGTAGTTAGACGAAAATTTTAAGTTTCTAAAACTTTAGACGTGTCCAAAATCTTCATTACCTATATCAGAGGGTCAAGTTATCTAAGAATATTGGGACAACTGGAAGTGAAAAATCAAAGTCTTCAGATGAAAATTTGAAGCCAATTCTTATTAGAAACAGAATTGAGATTCTGTTTCGTTGATGTTGCTAGTTGGCTTCAAGTAAGGAAATCAGCATCTATCATTGTACAAAATGATTCAAAATCATTCACATGATAATGCCTGTTGAAAAAAATATCTCAGTTGAATAGTTAGTAGGAATCACACGTTATAAGGTAAGACCTCGTTAGTTCTTAGCTCGCACAAGTTTCTCAACTTCTGAGAGTTGTCGTTCGTATGGGGGCGACAGCTGATTAACGAAAAAAACATATTTTAAACAGATTTTAAACAGTATGATATTTGAATTTACTCCTTCAAGTATAACTAAATTTATCACTAGAAAGTTCTGTCTTCAATGAGGCTCCACACGATGTCGATGATTTGAAGAAACAGCTTTCAGAAGGATGCTGACCTATTGCTTTGCAAGATTGGATAATTTTGCTTTCGTGGTTATTTACATATTTCACAATCACGAAATAGTGTCGCGAACTCCAAGAATGCTGCAGGAGTTCTGTTTGTAGTGCAATAACGAATTCTTAGGATATTTTGGATGGAATTTGGAAAAGTGATTGTAGTTCAGTGATCAGTCATCACAACAGTCATCAAAATAGACTGTAGAAAGTTAGAAAAACATCAATTTTGGAAAAAGAAGAAGAGTAATACAGACAAATTGAAATTATTGAGTTAACAGGTTCACTAATGCCTTTAGGGTGGATATAAAATTGTGCAAGTCTGCAACAAAAATCTGTCTGATCTGATTTCTTTGTATTTAGGTGTTCTGAAAACTCAGATACTCAAAAAATTCTAAAATATGGTGAAAAAAACGTCCTTCATTAAACTTTGCTGCCTCCTTATAAATTTCTTTCAGCACCGCCTCACAGAGAGCTTGGATTCATGAAGCAATTCGTGAAGTCACTTCTAAGATATGGGATGTGCTTCAAATATTCAATATTAAAATTTCCAGGTTGCCTCAGAGGCAAAGTTGGAGAAAGGTGTTTTCGTTGGACCAGATATCAGACGGCTTATGGCTGATTCACAAATCAGAACATGATGGCAGACTACTATCGCAGACTTCAGATAGACCTTGCAGATGCTTCCTACAAACGAGAATGTACCAAAAGGAGTCTCACTTGAAAACAATTGTTTAATGCTTCCTAGTACTTAATTTATTTAAGTGAAATAATAAGTTTTGTTACGCAATTATGAATATTTATTTTGTTGTCTTTTGATGACAGCTTGTTCAGTATAGATTTCTTCAAGTCATTTTTGAATGCAGCACATCAGAAACATAAAAATTACGCAGAAAATATAAAACAACTCTCAATATTTTATTGTAGACTAGTGTTACTTGTAGAAATGGAAAAAGTGTTTCAGGTTATTCGTTTTGGACGTTTCATTCAGACACTCACTCACCTGAGGATAACATAATGTATAACCGAAACCAGTAAGAACATGTAGCCCAAATAATACCATACTTCTTCCGAAAACGGTTTGAGAAAGGCAAACCTATTTGGATCCGCTATATTCTGCTTTTTGTGCAAAATGCTGATTCCTGAAAAGCATGCTTCAGTCATTGTATTTTCATTCTATAACCATTGATGAGTTACCCAAATTCATGAATGGAAGGCTGAAATCAACTACCTCTTGACGTTCAGGGGTTATTGTGAGATCTCCGACACCCAAGTGGGCTCTCTGGAATACAGAATTTGGATGGTTACATTATCATATTGGCGATAAACTGGGCTCACCTTCTCTAGAATATCTCCAATCAATCCAGTCCATCTTTCGTTGACCTCATCCCAATGTCCATATTGGTTCGACTCAGTCAGTTGTATCTCAAATTCGAATCCTATGATTTTGGCGATATTAGCAATGAGATCCAAGGAGTAGCCTTCATATCTTGCGTTTCCTTCCAGTTCGTTCTCATCAGCGTTAGCTTTCAGTATCAAATAGGGATTTCCAAGCCTAAAGTCATTCAGTTATTTGAATGGTGACGAGAAATGAAATAGTTGATGAGAATTTTTGTAGTTAAATTTTGACAAAGAGTGAGAAACAAAATGACTGAATCTATCTCCTTCAGAGTCTTTTAGATTCACCAGCATTTTTGTCAAAATTCAAATAATTTTCATGGACACATGATGTTCAATAATACATTCGGATTATTTGAAGAAAAATTATGAAAAAGGCAAGTTGCCTCCACTCAACTTCGAGGATGGACTACTTTCTCAATGGAAATGTCCACTCTATTTCTGTAAACAAAGCATTGACTTCTTACTGATATGAATAGGTGTGGTTGTTTCTGAGACTTGTACCAAACTTTCACTCAAAAGGGAAATTTTCAAAAATTTATCTAAATGGTGCAATGCAGACGGCAGCTCTTCGTCGGTAGGCACTATGGGTTCGTTGGCACTATGGGTTCGAGCAAAATTTCAGTAATTTAAAGGTCAACGGAAACTGATAGGGGCGCCACTACAACTTTTTATAATATCTAGTCAAAGAGTACTTACTTGGAAAGTTGAGCAACCAAATAATGACTACTTAGATGGTATACCCAGAACTATTAGAGACTTGACCATAAGATGTTCGTAAGTTGATGAGTGTGAATCGACAAATAAATGAAACATAAACACATACAATTTTATTAAAATTTGGCTCTTCACTGGTTCAGGAACAGATTTTCAAAAGAAATTAAAAATTATGTTTCTGTTAGTGGATACCCAAATTATACTCAATTATCAGGTGGACTGTGTGCCATTTTTAGCCACACAGTACTGTGGTGGTTTTACATATGGTTGAGATACATAGTTATATCTGAGTATCAAAATCAGATTTCACAAATTAAATGGTTCTTTATATTAATAAAACCTGTTCACTGGAGCCGTGGTAGGAGTCAACGGTAGAATTCTCCTGGATGAATTTTCAGCGGGGTCTAAAACTTCCACAATTCAAAAGGGTTTCATCAAAAATCATACGAAGCGTATCCCGATGATGGTTTTTTTTTCTTCCCAAAATAATCCGTTCCAAAAACGGTTCCTCAAAAAATTGTCTCTCCTTCAATTTACATTCCTCCGAAATAACGAAAAAACTATTTTTCCAAGAACGATCCTTCCATAAAAACTATTCTTCCAACAAAAAAATCTGTCCTCTCTAAAAACTTTCTCTTGGCGAAGGTTATTTTTTATTTACCAAAAGTCGTGGGGAGGCTATGGACTTGATCTCAACGGCGTAACCCTGTTCGGGAAGGGCGTCAGGGTGATCGTCCGATGGAGTCTTGTGGGTCTAAATAAAACTTTGGAAGAGGGAAACCAAAACCAGACAAATTCTGCCCTTCTTCCGTAACGACCGCTGCTCTCCACCATCAATCAACTCACCTCCTCACCGACTGAGTGATTCGGAGTGACTAACTTCCAGTCAGAGAATTCTTTCCCTTCCCATCTCCCTACTCGTGAAGATGGTGCAAACTGCCATTGTTGACACGTTCCACGCCACTCACCCAGACTGAATGGGTAAAAATCCCAACGCGTTCAGCTACATTCGGTCAGAACCCGAGGTGTCTACACTGCCTCTTGGCACCGTTAGCCATCTAGGACCACGCCAACACGAAAACAAACGAACGAACTCGGGTCACCCCGAAAGTTGGACATCTGATCTAAGAGAATTGTCCGAATTGATGGTAGGCAAGCAACTATACCACCATAGGTCTCTACAGAAAAACTTCTAAAATTAACAAAGTAAAGTAGCGAAAATTTAATTGCTACAGACTATCGTACATGCCAGCATTTAGAAAGATTATAGTCTTCTCTTGGTATTCTTTCTTGTTTATGGCTATGACCGTTTTGCCTTTATCAGCTCGCGTGAAAACAATGTTATTTGCTGCCGATTTCTCTATTATGGATTTAACTAGTTTTAATTCCAGATTGAACCAGCAATTTGTTTATTAGAGCAACATGATTCCATCAACGAAAAATCTGTATCATTTCCCAGAACTTCTAAATTTGTCGAATTAATGTTGGGTATTTAACTATACAGAACTGTTTGGACCTGCCAAATTCTCACAAATGCAGACAACGTGTTACCTCAGGGCTAGTACTAGAGTGCCACCAAGATTCAGACAAAACCTCAGTAGGTAATAACATTATCCTGATGTGGGTTAAAGGGCACGACAGGAGTAAAGATAATCGCATTGCCGACTCTTTAGCCAAAGAAGCGGCTGGACTAAGAATTTTACGACCCAGTGGCACCTACGGTCTGACGACTTTGACAATTGCGGAACTAGCCAAATGTTACACCCATGCAGTTGTGAATAAGTAGTATTTGATTCATGTATTTAATACCACTTTATAATGAATATATGAGTTCTCTTTATGATCTTTTTAATTGACATCTATTTGACAACTCAATAATAATTTACACTAATGATATCACGGTTGTCCCAATATATAAATATATGTAATACACAACAATCTCCCACGCTTATTGAATCATTTTTTTTTCAACTATGTAATCGCCTTTTCATTTGATGGTGCTGATTTTTCATGATGAACGGGTTTCAAAGCATCCAGCGTTATACGAATCTGTCGATCAAGAAAAAGCTCTGATGGTGTCTTCCCATTAGACAGTGGTGTTGCTCGATAACGAAAAAGTATCCCACGAACTTTCTGTCGCATAGAAAAAGGTTCGTTAGCCATAGCAGCAAGTCTGTGTTTAAGGGTTTGATCGTTACGTAGCTAGGTGTCCTGGTGCGATAAATTTTTGAAAAATACCTGCTGATTTGCAAAACTTTTTGAAATTTTCACTGGTGAATATAGTTGCATTATCGGAAACCATTCATCGGGAAATCCATTACGTGCAAATATATCTTGGAGTATCTCTATTGAAGATGAAGAAGTTGGAGCTGACATACACGGAACAATATCAGCACATTTTGATTTTGCGTCGATAACGACAAGAAAATGATGATTCTGAAACGGTCCTGAATAGTCGATATGTATTCGCTGCCAATTATTTTCCAAGGGTGCAATGGTGCTCTTGAAGGGTTTGACTGAACACCTCCACGTAACTTGAGAACAACATTGAAACCTGGAACACATCCAATTTTCTCTTCGAAATCATTTGGATATTTTGCGCTCAGTTCGTCTACACTCCACAGGTTGAATCTTTCAGAGGGTACTGAAGTGTTTTGTTGATTTAGTTGATTCAAATCTATCTTGAGGCGTCGGATCCAAACTCTACCAAGAATAGCAGCGTAATTATCTGGCACAATATAAACATCTTCTTTTATTTTGATGTTACCATAAGAAACGTTAACTACAATCTTCCCATCAGGTATGAAAACATCTTATGAGCGGAATCCGATGGTTGCTGGTTCAAGTGGAATATTCAGATTCAAATCTTGTAATTGTTGACGTTGAAGAAACGTATAAGCTGATCCCGAATCTACTTTTTTGATTGGTTTTTCTTCTATCTTGACGTGGGCGTAATAACGACTCACATCAGTGTCAGAACTATTATGATTTTGATGAATATCGACAATATGTTGCACACCAAATTGTAGTGCGATTTCATATGAATCGTCACTTTGAATTTGATTAGTCGATTCAGATTTTGCCTTTTTTGCAACTAATGAAGTAATGCAGACCTTAGAAACGTGACCAGTCCTGTTGCATAAGGTACATTTGAGTGAGATTTGTTCAGTGTGACAATCTTTTGTGATATGATTGGATTTCCCACACCTAAGACAAATATTCTGCAGTCTTAGTGATTCGAGGTTATATTTACGACTGAGTGGCCTATTGTACCTAGATTTTCTATTTCTTGAAGGGATATATGAACGTGAATGATTTCTGTGCATTTTATGAACATGTTGGTGTGAAAAGCTGACTTTATTTATATCAACTGTTGAAAATGACGTTGAAATTGTTTTCTGCGCATTTGCTCTCGTAGAAATGTCTTTGAAAGTTTTACTATCAGACTGAAGTAATTGTTCACGAATGCTATTATCGTATAAGCCACGAATGAATTGAGCTGTCAGGAAGATTTCTGCAACTGATTTCTTGCACTCGCATGTGAATTCACAGTCACTTATATTACTCTTAAGTGTACCTACGAATTCTGGAATTGATTGTTGTTCATTTTGATAGATTGACAAAAAGTGATGTTGAGCAACTAAAACGTTCTTCTTTGGTGCAAGATGTTCTTTCAATAACTTTATCAATTCATCATATGTCAACTGATCAGGAGTTTTAGGAGCAGCCAAAGATGTAATCATGTTGAAATTTTGAGCTCCAATAGAATTTAGTAGTAATTGAGCACAATAAGGCTTATTGGTATTGATCTGCTTCATTTGAAGGTAATTCTGGAACCTGCTTTTGTAATTTGAAAACGATTCTTTCTTGCAGTCAAAATTTTCGAAGTTAGCTAAAAGTGCTGTACCTATTCATCACAATTTCTCCCTTGCTTGATGATTCACGGTTTGTCTGACTCTGTGAACTTTGTAATTGAGAAAAGAGAGTAGATATCATTGCAGTTTGAAATTCCATAAATTCTTTGAACTGTTGGGCGTCCATTTTGGAAGGTTTTTTTTTCGATTATTTTTGATTTTTATAATATTTCTAATTCACCTCGTCGCCATACACTTGCCGATATAAAGGACATGTCTCCCAGTGACCTGTCCACCTTCCTGGAAAGGACAGGATGGACGATGACCTAAGAGGACAACTCCTCGGGAGTTTACGAGATAACAAAGGATGGAGTTGAAAGTATATAGAGTTGATAACGTCAGAGAATAACTAGTCAAATTTCTAAGGATACTGGTTGTATAAAAACGGTTCTCAAAACATTATTGATTTGGCAGTTCTATGCAAGAGAAAATAATTAACAGCACACTCGCATTCAGTCCTCCGGTTTTAACACATGAAACAAAACCCACGTCGTTCACTTACTTGGAAACAACAATAACTTTTGTTCCCTGCAAATTGGAAACCGCCGTCAAAGTTTCGTCGAAGTCCCGGTTGACGTTCAAACTTTGGTTGAAGGCGTACCACGTGGCTATTTTCTTATCGTGCAGGATATCCACCACGTGAATGTTGAAGAGGTTGCGATTTCCGAAAACGTCAAATGTCAGTGGGCCCGTCAGAGTTGGAGTGGTTGGAGGTCGCTGGAAACCAAAAAATTATGTAAAATGATGAAATTTCATAGGTAGAATTGGAAACGCTGGCGAATAAATAACTTTTTTCACACCCGAATAGAAATACTGTCTCCCGACGTGGAATACTGAACAAGTTAGCATAATCAGGAGATGATGGATACATTGAAAAGGTAATATTTTGAGGAATATTTTAATGAAAACCATATATTGGCTTTTCACTAGTCCAAAAATATTTCCTAAACTACATATCCATATGGAAGTAACTGTTTCTAAAAAAAATATCACAGTGTTCATGTGAAAGTAATTGTTCCGAATGGGTTTTTTTCACAGTTTTCATCTGAAAGAAACTTCTGTGTTTTTACTTCGTTCTGAATTTGACTCACAATTACATTATTTTACTGGAGATGAAAATAATATGTTTTGCAATCTGAACCGTTTACCAATTTCGACTTTTCTCAGCAGTAAACTTTCGCGTAGTCGACATATCTTTTATAAATTGCAACTTATCAATTTGCGGACGTATAGGTCTAAAAGTAGCGATTCACATTTGGAAAAACATTCTTAGGAAGTTTATTGAACATGCAGTTCTTCAAATGAAATAATTCCTAAACAGTGAAGTTCGAGGTGTACTGAGTTGAACCTCAAAATGTTGAGCTGCCACAGTCCGTCGCGTATTTCTGATATATACAGCTCTTGGAGGAATCAAATGTGCCAAGTGACTTGAACACTTCTAGTGAAAATATCTGTAGATTGCGAATGATGTATCCAATCAGGCAGATGGCTCTTTTCTGGATAGAATCTAGCAGCATCATGGTATGCTTAAGGGCGAAGCTCCATACATGAGAACATTATTCCAAAGAAGGTTTGATATGAGCTTTATAAAGCATCAAAAGTTGCTGAGGTGTGTACAGTTTCCTGGTTCCAGTGTACCAAACTTTTTGAGAAACAGCCTTCGCAATTCCAGCGACATGATAGTGCCATGACATAGTCGTGTTCATTTCAACCCCCAACGAATTATCGAAGCAGAAAGCGGAATTGTCTGTCCTGGCATTATTATATTCGGTTCGGAAACATTTGTGCCTAGGCATTTGTTGAATTGAATTGTAACTGATTACTTTCACCCCAAGTCGAAATCACTTATGAATAGCTATTGAGATATGCAAGGTCTTGAAGTCCTGAAGTTGCTGGATTCTATCCAGAAAAGAGTCACCAAGAGCGGTACACATATTAGGAATACGCGACGGACTGTGACTGCTCATCGTTTTGAGTCAGCAGCAGCAGCACACCAGTCACCAGAAATCAAAATAAATTATTTTGTTTTGGTCAAAGACGATAATGCAGCATCTATTTGCCATACATGTATGAAAAAAGTACAATACATAAAAATCAGATACAAAATTCTACATGATCCAGCTCAATAAACTGGTAAGTTCTCCATACTAACTTATTCTTCTAAATAAAAGATGTAGATTAGAGACTTCATCTGGAAACAGTTTAAATTTGAACATTTATAATTTGCCAGAGGACTATAAAAATTTGAGTTATGCTGAATTTAAAGTCAAGATAAAACAACTCTTAATAGCTCACAATCTCTACATAGTGAACGAATATTTTCAGATACCGACTATATGTTGACACAATAATTCTTTATTATACTTTATTATTTTAATCTTATTTGTGTAATATTCTGTCTGTATATTTGTTTTTTACATGTGTCTGTATATGTGCACGTATATATGTATATAATCATCTCATATTTTTATTTATTTTGATAAGGTGCTTTGATTGTCACATATATCTTGTAATTGACTTGCTACAAATAATTTTTCTTATAACGTAGTCAATAAATGAATTATTATTATTATATCGTGACTCAAAATTTACTGATTGGAGGGGGTATAAAAATTCCCTTCAATCGTACTTTGAGGACGGATTCAATACTATTCATAGTTTTAGTGATATGGAAACAGTAGCGACGCAATTTCACGAAGCAGTGATCTCATCCTATCATGAGAACTGTCCACTGAGGGTCAGAAAAGATAACCGCAACTCTTTTTGGTGTTCGAATAGTTCGACGACTATTCAATCGAGCTGAAGAATCAGGTAACTGGAAGCTCTATAAAACCACTCTAACGACATACAACAAGGAAATTAGAAAGGCAAAACGGGAGTCTTGGAGGAAGTACTGTGAGAGTATCACTGATTTACCTCGCAGCCCAAGAATTCACAAGATTATCTCTAGAGAGCCGACAGCTGAAATTGGGTCGCTTAAATGACCCGATGGAACATTTACGATCTCTAGCAAAGGAACGTTAGAGCTTTCGATAGAAAACCACTTTCCTGGAAATCTGACTCTTGATAACAACAGACCGCCTATCTCCGAGGGCGCTAAACGCCCAAAAAAGAACGACTGGGACGTCGCAAAAAAAGGTTATCACAGAACCGGCAGTTGAATGAGCTATCATGTCTTTTCAGCTCTTCAAATCTCCCGGTGAGAAGCTTTTCTTCAAAACGGGCTGGAAATAATCTTACTCATTCTCACAAAATTGTATAGGACTAGTCTGGCGTGGAACTATATACCACCCACTTGGTTGGCAGCGAGGGTGGTAAATATACCTAAAATGGGCCGGAGAGACCCACACCCCCAATCGGTACGACCAATCAGCCTCACATCCTACCTGCTGAAAGGGCTTGAGAGGATACTGGACGGACATATCAGGAGGGTAGCATTATATGCATCCCCCCTGAATAATGACCAGTATGCTTATCAAACCGGCAAATCGACAGATTCAGCATTGAACAACCCCGTTGAGAAAATCTCCCAATCCCTCAATAACAAGAAGATTGCGGTTGCTGCATTTCTTGATATTGAGAGGCATTTAACAATGCACTACCTAAATCTATAGGATTGTCTCTGGCTAGAAAGGGTATAAAATCGACCATAACTGGCTGGATATATGCCATGCTAGTAAACAGAACTGTAACTACGACTCTTCGAAGTGAGGTTATCAGATTCAGGGTCACCAGGGGCCCTCAGGGTAGGGTACTATCTCCCCTTCTTTGGTCGCTTCCGAAAGAAAGATATGAAAGCTTATGCAGATAACCTTGTCATCCTGGCAAGGTTTACGTCGGGAAGAGTAGCTTGTAATATTCTCCAAAGCGCATTGGACGTTGTTCACAGTTGGTGCCTGGGGGAGCAGATGTCTGTCAAACCCAGCAAAACTGTGGTAATCCCCTCCACCAAGAGGAGAAAATTGGACGATTCAACACCACCTTCCTCAATTATGTGGTCATTCCATTTGGAACGGAGGTGAAATATCTTGACATTTTCCTTCATAAAAGACTCACCTGGAACGTTCACTTGGAAAAAGTATTACACAAAGCCAGACTGCCTCTATGAACATGTCGAAGGATTTGTGATGAAATTGGGGTTTAGGTCCCAAACAAATACATTGGATTTATGTGATGATTTTCAGACCAATGATCACTTATGGTGCAATAGCTCCAAGCGAAGCTCTCTGGCTTACAGAGACAGGCTTGCCTGGCTATCAGTGGTGCCATCAGCACCACACCGTCAGCGGCCTAGGAGCTCCTCCTAGATCTACGTCCACATTTTTTTAGAAAGAGAGGCTGGATGGACTGCATTACGGACTTGTGTACATTGCCAATTGCACAAATCAATTCAATGCAGACTGCAACAGACTATTGGCTCACAGTGGAAGTCGCAGCATTCTGGAAATGACCTCTGACTTTATCCCTCCAACTGTCAACCACGAACTGCCTCATAAAGTACTATTCCCGAGTAGAGAGGACTGGATCCTCCAAGAGAAGGAAATATTGAGAGCAGATAGTTGTTGGTTCACAGTTGGATCAAAAACACCCTCTGGTTATGATGCAGGTGTTTTTAGTCGCAGACCTAGGACAGAGTTATCCACCTGCCTAGGAACTTATGCGACTGTATTCCAAGCGGAAATTTACGCCATTGAATTGTGTGCGGAGAAATTGGATAAATCCAAACCCACTCACAAGTCAATAAAAATATTCTCGGGCAGTCAAACGGCGTTGGAAGCTCTTAGCTCTTACAGAGCAACGTCTAAATTGGTAGTAAACTGCCAAAAACGTCTCTCCTCGATAGGGAGACTTAACAGATTGTCTCTGGTCTGGATTCCTGGCCATACTGGCCTGGAAGGCAATGAAGCTGCTGACTCTCTTGCAAAGGAGGGTGCTGCAAGCGGCTTTATTGGATCATAACCTGTCATTTGCATCGCTTTGGGCTTTGCTAAACAAACACTGAACACATGGATGGCAAGAAGATTCATGGACTTCTGGCAGAATTTTCCAAGATTGTTGGACTACAGTAGGGATGAACTACGATGTCTAACATTCCTTCTTGAAGGTCACTGTCATTTGAATCATCATATGCAGAGACTTGAACTGTTGGAAGACAGTGTCTGTTGCATCTGTCTGAAAAATGATAAAACAGCAGAGCATATACTTTGTACCTGCCCCGTTGGGGACCGAATCAGGTTCTTTGAGTTCGGCAGATCCGTACTCTCATCATCTGACCTGAAAGACCACTCACCATACAAACTAATCGACTTCGTTGAGAAACTGGGTTCATTCGGCCGAGTGTGAATAGGTGTGAGCCACAATAAACCCTTGTGGGTTGATGAGGAGGGTCGAATGGACTGACTCACTTTAGACCTACCTACCTTACATACTAACTTAATACAACAAATATTATTTAGAATTCGAAAGATTATAAAACACAGACTGATAGATGAACAGCCAGCGATCAGCTTTAATATATAACACTCTTCTATACAAAAGCTACGTGCAATGTTGACAAAAATTTGGACATATTACGAACGGAAAAAAGGGTACATTAACTAAAAAAAAAAAGGTTTTTGCTTCATCGTGCAAAACGCACCGACTTGTTTCTCAAAAACTAGAAATATTCTAAAATATTTTCAGTTCATCATTCAATTCTCGCTAAAAAAAAACTCAATTCAAAAATATTAGAACGGAATGAAACATTTTCAGAACATCGCACTCCTTGTCACACCAGTTTTGGGACAATTGATTTAGAATAATCTAATTTGATGTGTTCAATGTGTATTTTTTACCATCCAGAAAAGAAATACATTTCCGTATGAAGTGTTGTTCGAAAGATGGGATGATTATTATAAATCGATCACTTCTCGAAGAAGAACGAGGTTTTGGCCTTAGGTATACAATCACTGTTAATGTTTCATTATATTCAGACATACCTACCGTTTTCATGAAGTTGATCAAATTTCGTCCCTCAACAGATTTCTCTTCGCCACTACAGTCAATACGGTTCGTCATCATTGAAGGTCCCAGCTCTGATAAAGTATCATTCATGAACCAGAAAGCGTCATAGAAAAGAGCCAATTCTGTCTGAAAAAACATTGATCTCCTTTGTCAAAATTTATAACAGCAGACTTCAGTGACATTTTCAGATTATAATTCATTATTAAAAATTGATTTTCATTCGATACTGTAAAGAAATATGATTGATTTACCGTTAATTTCTTATGATGTACAAGTTCTCCTATTCCCATTGTACGAACATAGTTCTTGAGGAATTCATTATTTTCATCAAAAATTTTAATGGTCGTTATGTTTGCTGTTGTGTCCAAATTTGAATAATCCAAAGTATGTGCATCCTAAAAACAAAATAAAATTACGGTTTGATCTGATCTTCAAGAGGAAGGTCAAAAAGTTTGATCTTCTTCTTGAACTTATGATGCACTGTTTGGAACCTTTGGTGTAGTAATGAATATTACTGGTGTTTTTTCCTAACACCAAATCGTTATTTTTTAACACCTCGACACGTGTTTCGATCACTAAGTGATCATCTTCAAAGAGGAAGATTAAAACTAGAAACTAATGCGAGCTAACCTATTTATGCTATTTACGTATTCCATACATGTAAACCATCCAGGCGTACCACCCATACGGGTATACCAACCTAAATTAATTTTACAATTTTGCCTTATCTATTATTTTACAATATATGTTCATATAAAACAATTTTCAGCAATATAAAAATTAATTTCACGATATTGCCTATCCAAATTTATTTTTGCAATGTGTCCTTATGTAGTAATCAGTAAACCCAACAACATTATTTTATTTTATAACGAGACTTCCAAAAGGACCGCCTTTGGGAGTCTCGTTTGAAATTGACATTTACGGTTCGTAGTCTTTGTCGACTCCACAGATAATATTTTCATTATATGTTGAGTTCAACAATGCATTTCTGATTCGGCTTTGGACCACATATGCGACTCATGCTTACGTATATTTTGGATTCTTTAAAACAATAATGATACTTTTACATGGGTCTCTTCAGATAACCTTATTGTTACTTTTGATTCAATTTTTTTTTTATCTATCGGATGTATGAATCCATTTGCCTCCTAATTTTTTTGTTCTTCTTTAGACCATTTACTGCTTCCACTCGTTCGTTTGTATTCAGGTTCACCGTTGGTGTAATATTTTTTTAAACATTCTTCATTATTCTCATATGTTTCATGCTTGAAATGAGTTGGAATATCGTATTTTTGCAGGTATATCCTTCATATAAGACACAATCTGTTTTATTGTACAAAGTTAACAGGTTAGAAATAACGTTTCAAAACAATAAAAGAAAAATAATGTCGGGTATCTGAAAGGTGCGAACTAGTTTCCTGCTTTTCATAAAAGAAGAAGTATGCTTCTCACTTAAGGCGATTTTGGTGGAATTGGTGACACGTGTAAATCACTGTTTTCATGCCACGTGCCAATGTAGGAATGGAGGGATACACTTTGATGTGTAATGTCCGTTGTAAGTAGACCCATTGTGTAAGAGAGTTTATATAGATTATAACTACAAAGAGTCATATTGTCTGCTGCATAAGTGTTTATATCTCATTGATCTAGAGGGAATTCGATGGCAACATACATGCCTCTAAATTTTTTCCTCAGAGAAAATCTTTCTTCCACATTATACGTCTTTCTAATCGGGAACATGAAGCAAAACTACTCTTGTGAAAAGCACCTTTGGTGAAAACTTTCATATTTTCCTTGACAGACGTCTAAAAAATAAAAAATGAAATTTTTGGGTTTCAAAAACGGAAAGCGATCATTTTCGGAAACGTTAGCCGTTTTCAAATTGTATTTTTTCAACCAATGAAAATTCGTGACTACGACAAGTGTCAAATTGATTGGACTTTTCAGAGGTTTATGATAAGTAGTGAATTTCTGTGGTGAACTTTAGTTCATCCTTCATCACCCTTGAATAGATTCTCTATCGATTTGGCTTCATAAATGTCAGTACTACATTTGTTATACTTCTTTTCAATATTCTGCAAACAAGAATTGGGGCAGTTCCTTAGAAAAAAAATTTGAGAATATTCCACAAGTAGGTATCGTTAATTCGTAGCATCATACTCGATTGCTATAATTGATAGCATAATATAATCGGTAGTGTAGTATATAGTTTAAGGAAGGTAAAAAAACTCACCAGATTTGTAAGGAAATAGTTGTTGTAAACATTGAGCATGTTCATAGTCTTCGCTTGATACAGTATTGACATAATATGTTGGGTTCCACAATCGAGTATAACATTAGTGAGAGTCGATCTTTCAATTTTTGCTAAGGTTGATCTGAAAAATTCACAGTATGTATTCAAGAAATTCAAAGTCGTGCAATAAAGACACTCACCTGAAGTCTAGCCCATGTCCGAGTTTTTCCAAAACAATTCTATTAGTTTTATCATTTTCCTTGAACTTCTGCATATTGAAGATCTCTTGCAATTTCAGCAGAGCATCATCATGTTCATAAATTATTACAAAACTCTTCCAACCAAAGCTCTTCACTATTTCTGCCAAGCCATGTCCGAAACGATTCGCTTCTGGAAAGAAATTCAGGAAAGATCTGGATGGCTTGAGATTGGGAGATCTCCACGATGTTACTATGTAGGGTACTTGAAATTTTGTGGAAATTGATTCCAGAATTGTGGTAGATGTGGATGATTCTGGACCAAATATTGCAGCTACTCCACTTTCGTTATTCATCATATTACACACTAAAATGTCAGAGCAACATTATCCAGTTTTATCCAATGAAATGAATGGAATCGTGTTTCAATATAAACTAATTCCAATATCGAAAATAGTTTCATTTGAAAAAAACTTCTGCTAATAGTATTCTGCTATCACTAATTGAACTGTCTATTCATTTGAAAATCACAAAATTTCCCGATGAACAAATGAAAAACTGCAGCTTGGAAGAAGGATCTATTCATAATAATTGTTCGTAGAAGATACGACCAGTTTTATTGTGAAAACAGAGTTAGATGGAATTTAGGGTTTCATGTTATGAAAAAGAAATTGAAAAATAATATATCTCAATTCCTTCCAAGCTCGACGAGCTCAGTAGAAAATTGAATCGAGAATCAACTGGCGAATAAGAGACTGTCTGGTTATCAAGACGAAAAACGTCTTGAAGGATTTTATTTTCTCACTCGTTGACTTCGAATTATTGTCATGTTCTGGAATCCAATTATTTGTGGAAATTGACTAGTATACTGATTACGAGGGGAACTTTGTAGAGCAAAATAATAAAGTTAAAAAAATTTGTAATAATTGCATCAGTTCGGACTTCCATTGTCCAATATAATATAAATTGATTTGAAAACCCTGGAAAAACAACTAAAAAATTAATGAGAATAACCGAAAATAACAATTTTATTGAACGAAAAACTGAAATTACAAAGAAATAATATACAAGCAACAATCAAACAAATGAAAATTGAAATAATAATGCAAGCTGAAGAAATAAAAATTGAAAATTATTAATAACAAAAATGAAAAATTATAATTAAAAAATTTCCAACCATGTTATGTCACGACGTTTCCATTTTTAGTATCCACAATCATCTTCGGGTGATAACTGGACTTATTCCTCCGAGATCTGATTATTTATAGGTCGCTCGAGTGCTTTCACCTATCCCCTCTTCACTTTTTCCGCTACATTGGTTTTTAGCGGGAGATGACCGTTTGGCGGGTATTGGTCGTTTCCATAGGTTTCCATATGTTACGTATCCCTACGCTAGCTTGAATAAATGCGTTGTTGGACAAAATATACGCGGCTTCTTTGAATTTTCTCCTAAACCAGTGGATAATTTCAGCTTGAGCCCACTTGATGTTATGTTGATGAGTCCAAACATGCTCTGCTATTCCGGATTTGCTGGTTTCTCCTCGCTGTGAGTGTTTCTTGTGCTCAGCAATGCGAACTTTCAATGGCCTCTTAGTTTCACCGATGTATGATTCTCGGCACTCGCAGGGTACCCGGTAAATGCAGTTCTTGAAATCGCAGTCCGCGTTTGGTGGCCTGGTTTTCGTGAGGCTGCTACATATAGTGTTTCCAGATCTGAAGCAGGTCCTGATGTTGTACTTGGACCCAGTCCTTCTTATCCTTTTCGATAATCCTCTGATGTAGGGAAGTACAAGTACTGGTTGTGGCGGCTTCTCTTCCTTGTGGAGTTCTTGTTTTCACCTAGCTAAGGCCTGTTCTACCATCACTCTGGAGTAACCATTCCGTTTTAGGTCATTTTTGATGATGCCTAGTTCCTTTTCGAGACCTTCCTTTGTATTACAGAGCCCAAAAGCATGGTCTAGTAAAGTCTTGATGATTCCTCTCTTAGTCGATTGATGGTGGTTAGATTTCTGGTTCAGATACTGTCCTGTGTGAGTGGGTTTTCGATATACAGATGTTTCCCATTCAGTGTCGGTCCTCTTCACCAATACGTCTGAGAAAGGCAATTCGTTGTGGACTTTCTTCTCTATTGTGAAAGTGATGGAAGGACTTACGTTGTTGATGTGCTTCAGGAAAGTGTCTAGTTTTGCATTTCCATGGTTTCACATCATGAAGGTATCGTCTACGTTTCTCCACCAGTCTCGGGGCTTTTTGTGGGCTTCTTCAATGGCCAGAGTTCCAAACCACTCCATATATATTTATATATATTGGCTTCAACAGGTAGAAGTGGCGATCCCATTGGCAGTCCCTCATCTTGCGTAAAGAATTCGTCCTTCAGTTGAGAGTAGTAGTTTCGTACACAGCATCCTAGTAATTCCATGATTACTTGTATCGGTGAGTTTGTTCTATCTTTCAGGTCCTCATCTTCGGATAGCTTCTTCTGTATGATTTGAAGTGCTTTCTCGACAAGAACGTTGATGTAGAGGCTTTCCACGTCGGAACTGATCAGTTGATCCTTCTCTTTGACTTTCACTTTCCTGAAGCACATCAACAACGTAAGTCCTTCCATCCCTTTCACAGTGGAGGAGGAAGTCCACAACGAATTGCCTTTCTTAGACATATTGGTGAAGAGGACCGACACTAAATTGGAAACATCTGTATATCGAAAACCCACTCACACAGGACAGTATCTGAACCAGATATCCAACCACCGTCGATCGACTAAGAGAGGAATCATCGAGACTCTACTAAACTGTGCTTTTCGGCTCTATAATACAAAGAAATGTTTCGAAAAGGAACTAGGCATCATCAAAAATGACCTACAATGAAATGATTACTCCAGGCCTTAGCTAGAAGACAACAAAAACTCCACAAGGAAGAGAAGCGGCCACAACCAGTACTTGTACTTCCCTACGTCAGAGGCTTATCGGAAAGAATAAGAAGGACTGGGTCCAAGTACAATATCAGGACCTGCTCCAGATCTGAAAACACTATCTGTAGCAGCCTCACGGAAACCAGGCCACCAAACGCGGACTGCGATTACAAGAATTGCATTTACCGGGTACCCTGCGAGTGCGGAGGATCATACATCGGTGAAACTGAGAGGTCATTGAAAGTTCGCATTACTGAGCACAAGAAACACACACAGCGAGGAGAAACCAGCAAATCCGGAATAGGGGAGCATGTTTGAACTCATCAACATAACATCAAGTGAGCTCAAGCTGAAATCATCCACAAAGAGGAACACTGGTTTAGGAGAAAATTCAAAGTAGCCGCGTATATTTGGTTCAACAACGCATTTAGTCAAGCTAGCGTAGAGATACGTAACATATGGAAACTTCTCATCAAGCAAAAAACGACCAATTCCCGCCAAAAGGTCATCTCCCGCTAAAAACCAATGAAACGGAAGAAGTGAAGAGGGGATAGGTGAAAGCACTCGAGCGACCTATAGATAATCAGATCTTGGAGGAATAAGTCCAGTTATCACCCGAAGACGATTGTGGATACTAACAATCGAAACGTCATGACATAACTTGGTTTGAAATCTTTTTATTTTTCATTTTTGTTAATAATAATTTTTCATTTTTATTTTTCTCAGCTCCTATTGATATTTCAGTTTTTATTTGTTTTGTTGTTGCTTGTATGTTATTTTTTTTGTAATTTCAGTTTTTTGTTCAATAAAATTGTTATTTTCGGTTAATCTTATTAATTTTTTTATTGTTTTTTCAGGGTTTTCAAATCATTTCATATTATATTAGACGAAGGAAGTCCGAACTGATGAAATACATCACAAAACATTGTCAACCACCTTCAAAAAAACAAACTCTATCGAAAAATATCATTAGTTCGGACTTCCATTGTCTGATATTATACAAAATGATTTGAAATACCTGGGAAAACAAATGAATGAAGAATAATAACTATACTGAGCAAAAATAAAATGAAATAACAGTTTCAAGAAGTATTTCTTTGAAGATTATTGAAAAGTGGACTGGATCAGAAATCCTTTTTCGAGAACTTCACCAAATGAATTGAAACTGAAAGAAAGTTTCATCGATCTTACAGAAGATAGTTCCATGAAAGAGTATTTCAAAGAGAAATCTTTAACTAATTTCTGGATCGGATGTAAAACCAAGTACCTACCCTTTGCTCTTCCGGCAAGCTCTGCTATTTTCGATGCCATTTGTTACAAGTTACTTGTGTGAGAGTGGGTTTTCTGAACTTTTTATCACTCGAAAAAGCTACTGCGCTAGCGATCTTCATCAAGTAACGGCCGAATCAATCGGAAAATCAAACGAATATATTGTACCAATCCTTACTACGGTCAGTCGTAGAAAAGTATAGTACGCACCTCGAGGATAAGGCCAATTACGTCTACTTCGCTCGTGGCTACTTGGCTTCTTATCCTACTTGGTACGTAATATACTATTACTAAAGATATCGATAACAGTTACTTACTTGTAACACTGGTTTCATAGCTATCGTGATTGGAAGCAAACTGGATATTTGTCGTGAATATAATTTCTCTATTATCCGATTTTTTATCAATTGTCACGTTTATCAAGGCTTGCTCTTGGGTCGGATTTCCACCAAAAAGAATTCCTAGAAAATGTACAAATTTAATTCTTTTGGAGTAAAATGTGTTCAACCTCATGAAAAATGTGAAGGGATGAGGACTGGTGATTTGGTTGGTAACAGATTTGTTGAACACTGGTAATTGTGTGAAAAGTTTGGATTTTCTTTCAGTTGTGCGAAGAAAAATTATCATTTGGGGAAAATCTGTAACCTTTCAACCTTTTGTTGAACTCTCAAACTCTTTTTTTGCCACAAAAATGAACTTTATGTATGTCTATGCTATTGATGACACTCAAAATTCCTCTTATTGACGTCATACTTGTACCAGTACATTTAGGATTTTCAGTGATCATCAGCAGTACATGTTTTCCGATTTCTACATTTCAATGACTCATTCCAAATAGGAACCTTCATATACAGTGTCACCATTAAAGTGCGCACCATATGGGAAACTTTCTTTCCGAAGAGTTTAAATGAAGTTTAACTTCGGCACTTGTTTGTGCTTTAAATTCAACTCTAGATCGAATTTAACAAAAATTTACTTGGAAAAGTTGTGTCTACGGCAATTTTATATCCATATGCCAAATTTTATGCAACTAGGATAAAGTTAACGTTTTGCTTAGTTTTGACAGATATCTCCTTTATTTTAAAAAACAAGTTCGGTTAATTGTCATCAATTCATCTATACATAAAAAACTCATCATGGAGTTTAACTTTTCTGATACATTTTTACTTATA